CATAAGTATCAAATAATCGAGAAAAGGCTACGGAGAAATGCACGAAGTCGGCCCATTGACAACTCAGGTTTCCATCTGATTTCCATCAGATTCAGATCGTTCTTTTATAATAGGACTGTGATCTGATGCAAATGAAGGTCGTATGAATGCTAAAGATTATGCTGGTGGATATATCGTTCACCTCTGGAATAGCTAATTTTTATAAAAAGATTTTAAGGGTAAGAATTTGGATTTGTCCAACAACGATATTAGTTGGCCTCACAATCTCATAGAAACCCAGTCAGAATTTTTAATCTCACTCACCTTCTATCACACTATATATATATATATATAATGTTATAAAGTTATGCCCTATGACCCTCTGGTGCCCGTAGATGAATAGAGGAGTAGCAACTTGTCACTACAATGCTCACGGCCCGGTTTAAAGTTCTATTGAGAGTGCTGATGACGCTTAAGCCAGGTCGGTACAGTAGTTCAGTTTGGATGAGTAAATCAATTGGGAGGCAAGGTTAACTAAAATTCATTGGCATCGTGAGGCCTAATAATATCATTTTGTGCAAAATTGAACTGGCAACCATTAAATCGCATAAAGTGACAAGTTATTATCCAGGTATTACTAAGTGTCAAAACGCTCTAACAGGAAATGAAAGAGGGTTTTAGTTCGAATCCTGATGGGGTGGTATGAGACAGATTCAAGCTAAAAACTACAATCCATTCTGGACGATACAGCATTTTCGGGAAATATGGTGCAGTGATTAGTGGCGGATGGCTTATTTTTCAAAACTCTCTCTCTCTCTTGACAGCAACTCACTATAAGCTAACCTTATTTTATGTGGCTGTAACACATTAATTCACATAAATTTAGTGACACTTCCAACAAAATAAGTCCTAAATTTTAAATTCAAACATAAATTTCTTTATTTAGTATAGAAAGTAGAATTTTCCTAATTTACTTTAGATCTTTATATAGGTCATCTTCAACCAAGAGAGCAAAATATATGACATGTTTTTTCACTAATCTGCTCCATTGTGTATTGAATTACGCGCAGATACTCATGCGCACATATAACCAGGCCAGACGACATCATTTGATGTTTAGATATGCCAAGCTTTCTCTCATTTTAAGTGACATTCACACATGATTTTCAAAGGCTTCTAGACCTTGCATTGGCCAATAAAGATATGACACACTTACACACATAAAACCCCACAACCAGGTGGCCATCTACACATACGGGCAAGCAGATCGACTTGCAGACGTGTAGGTCCACAGGCACGAGGCGGTGGAGTGCCTTCGGAAACCGATCTTACTCAGAACGGCTCAAAGCTGGGCCTCTTTCCCGGTTAGGTGCGGAGATTCGTGAGCTAGCATTCACACTTTGCATATCCTTGTTGACTCGTGCTAGAACTTGCGTTCTTGTCTGTCGCACAAATTGGGCGGAACATCCGTTCTGGAATCGAAGAGGGGAGGTAGAGTGCAGGGTGAAGAATAGGGCTTTGTAACAAGACCAAGCAACTCTATATAAAGAGTAGACCTTATTCTCGGATAAAACACTCCACGTCCTTGCTTAACATGTGTCGATCTCCTAGGTAAGCTAAAAGCTAAAGTATTTGCTCTTCTGCCCTATTTTACTGTGTTCTCTATATTGAACTGAATTTTAGATATGTCAAATTAAGATGCTATAGCCCTTCGTTTTCAATAGTTGGTTGAGTTGGCAAGTAGACCTCAAAGAAAATAGCCGATTCCGCATCCTCTAACTTAGTTATTATGAATTTTTTCACTATTTTTATAGTTGACTTGGTACATTCGCAGACGTGCCTTGTCAGCATTCCCAACCCCCACATCACTCCTCTTGACCAATTGTCTGTTCAACCGTTATGGCATTCCTCTTTATCACTATCTACCAGCTCATTGGGAGAAAATGGAACGAAGACACAAAGAGGTACAGATAAACAAGTTAGTCTTTTGATATGGGATTAAGCGTTTGGGTGAGCAGTAGAGATGTCAAAACAGTTAAACAGGAAAAGGGTCGAAGAGATTGTCTTTTTACTGTAACTGTCGCGCTGTAGCTCCGTGCTGAGGATGGCACTTCTCACAAATAATGCAGGTGAGTCGTCTTCGACTATGTCAAGTCGATGGTCCGATGCTGAAAGTTATCGTGACTTCCATTACAAAGGAATATGAGGTTGAATCAACTCTAACATTGTTGAGAGTTGTGCTCTATTCCACTGACTTATTTATTTCTATTGTGTCCATAACTCAACTTCTTTGGATAAGCATGACAAGTGATAATCTGTGTTTTAGCTTTATTTACTTAAATATTTTGGGGCTGCTTGCAATGTTCACTTAACTTCGATCTTTGGAAAGAAGCAGTTCCAATTCCTGCTGAATGCTTGGTGATCGGACAACAAGAATCCAGCTTGACGTTTAGCAAGTATACCACCCGCTAATATAGACTAAGACATAACCTTTGGGCAAGCAGTAAAATGATCCCGAAGTCTGACGTAGGCGATCTCTTCTTTCAGGCTGATTATGAAGAGGGTGATCGTGAAGCCAACTTTAGTGATCAGATAAGACTTATTTCTAAACCTTTTCCCTCAACAGCATTGAGCCCTAAATAGTGAGCAGTATGGTCTGTTGAAGCGATGTCTGTTTGAGAGGAGTGTTCTAACGCAGATTTGGAGTGCCCAAATGTCCCTGCCCTCAGGGGTTGCTGGCTGCTGAAAAATTGGGATTACTTGCAAGTAGTGCCAGAAACCAGAATGCCCTGCCAAGTGGAGGCCTAGACAAGTATTTTCCCTACCGTATGTCAGCTTCACTTTTTATGCCTCATGCTTCTGAATGGATAATAATAATTATTATATAATTGGTCCGGCCCACTTTTAGAAACTTGTCCCGTTACCAAGGCGACTTCGAAAAACCTACCCAGTTCAGCCTCCTCCATCATAGTGGAGTTGATAACTTCCAGCATCGGAGTGCACCCACGAACACTAACCTTTGGGATTTTTATTGAGTCTTGCCATTCTTAGCATCATGCCACAGCTTTTCTCTTGCTGAGATAGTTTGGTTAAGAAAGTTCCTTAGATTCAGTTTAGTCGCATCGAGCTCCAAGCCTTATTGACCCTATGCTTCGATGTGACTAATTGACAACTCACTTCATTTGAACTCATTTCTTAATATGGTATTAGGGGTCCAGAGGTATGATTACTAGACCAACGACTACAAGCAAGCAAATTTCTACCCCTTCCAATTCAAATTATTGCATTTGACAAAGTTGCTCTCCTTTTATTATGCTAGTTGGCACCTAGTAACCGTTGTCAAGTTGCATCACTTAGGAATTAAGATATCTTGCAAAAAAACGTTTTAAATAACTACTTAAAATGTGAATTATCTTCCATTAAAAGAGGTCATTTTCTACCAGCATGTTCCACTAGATTATCTTTGATTAGTCTAAGGGAGCTGGTTACGCTTGACTTTTATAATGGAGTACTTTATTTTGGTCCTTATTGACAAACTATTTTCTTGTTCCTCAGATTCGGCTGGGGAGGCTTTGGTGGCTGTGCTCCTGGTGGTGCCTTCGGATGTAGAGGTTGTCGAGGAGGTTGGAATGGATGCAGACCAGGTGGAGGTAATAGCTGTGGCGCTTTGCAGCTGCACTGTGGACCACGGCTTTACAATTGCGGCAGGTCCTGTGGGTATTGTAACTGCTAGCTTGAGCAGAGGTGAGGAAGCCAGAAGAAGAGTGATTTGGGTGTTTGTGTGAACATTTATTCTTATGAGTGTATGCGTGTTTGTGTGACTTGTATGTGTGCATGAAAGCCTCGAGCCTGTTGGCCGAATCTTGACTACCAGACCTGATTGAGTGGTGATTCCATTGAAGCTGGAGAACAAAGAGGCGCCTGATGTAAAGAAGTATCTTCCGGGAAGGATAGAGAACAAAACTCAAAGCAAACCGACGAGACGGCGTCAATCTATAGATCCTTCAATGCAATAAGTATTTTTAGAATGGACTACGCTAGCCGGCCAATCGTGCTCAACCTAAAGAAGTTGGTGACAGGAAAGAAACACTTTTTCCAGGGCCAAAATAGTTGCCGAAATATCATGACCACCCGAATAGTTCATACAAGTTGGTAGTCAATTTTTGCTTGTTGGCCATTCAAAATAAATATTTAACTGACTTCTAACGTTTTCTCACTTAATTATTCTATACTCACCGGTTTGGGAACTCTGGAATGGTTATTCACATTTATGGAGGATTTGGGCCAGATAACTAGTAAAGGTGGTTTGGGGACTAATCATGGAATTTTTCCATAATAACATTGAATTTCATTAAGTTTTAACAGAGAATAAGAATTTCCGTTCCAAATGAAAGCGTTTGTTGAAGAGATTCGAAGGTCGATCCCACCAGAAGATGGCGGAGGATTCCTTCTGATCCGTTGTCTTCTGGTGAGACCGGCCTTCGGATCTCATCATTGAACGCTTTTACTCGAAATGGAAGTAAACTTAACAATTGTGAGAAGCCCAACTTTTTTTCGCAAATAAGAACTTAGTCAGCCTCGGTCGTTTGAGCTGATCTGACGACTGGTAGTTGAGATTTCGCCATATTGGGATCAAGTTTCGACCCAGCTAAGCTCCAGTCTGGATGAGATAAGCTTTTTTGAGGAAAGGCTAAGTGAAATTCAATGAAATTCTGAGGCCTACTTATTTCATTGGGAGAAAACACAGCTACCATTCTCTGAATCACCTTAAGAAGCCTATGGTGACTAGATTCTTGTCTAGGAATTAATGATAGCCCTGTAATCTACTTAAAATTTTCCCCGGCAAAGATATTAAAAGAGATTTCATATACAATCCTCCTAACTGAGTCGATCAAATGAGGCGTCATAGACTCAAATAGTCCTCCGAATGATGGTACTGTAGGTCTAGCGTGGTCTTTCGGCTAATTTAATCAAAATTGTTAATTGAAGATATGAAGACCAAGATGTTGTGGCCTCTGGTGTGGTCGCAGTCTCCTTTCGATTGATAGAAGTGGGCTTATTTCCATTTAGAGTGAAGGTGTTTGGTGAAGAGATTTAAAAGTTGATCCCACCAGAAGACGACAGCGCATTCAACAGTCTTCCCTACGAGGCAATCCTCCTTCGGTCTCCGGTGATACCATATCACGACTTCCACCCACCCAACTTTCCCTTCGAAATGGAGTGCCATACCACAATATTTAATTAAGGAATTCTTATAAACCAATTTTTCCTCATATCTTCCAAGCACATACGGTTTTCATTCAATTCGGAATTAGTCATTATATACAAAAACCAATAAATCGTTTGCCCGGCAAGTCAATCGCATTCGCTTTATGACGTATGCCATGATTTGTTTGATATTAGACCTAAGGAAAACACTGCAAAGCTACATTCCTTAATCAGAGCTAAGACTAGACTTAGGCAAATCATGTCAGATGCTCTTAGTTCGGAAGACTTCCTGAAACTCCAGAGTATAACAGATAGTTTACATGAGAAGATTTTTTGACAGGTTAGGAAGACACATAATAAGAAATTAAGAAATTTGGGAATAAGCATTAGCTCAAGGAAATGACCCACATCTAATTAATAAAAGTGTAAGAATAGGCGTTGCCAAAAAGTGGTGAATCTGTTTAAAATTTCATTGGACATTTCTACTGTGGAGGTCCTAGCAAAAGGCTTAAACTTTGCCGCCCCAAATAGTAAGGACTTCAAAGAGGAAATTTTGGTAGAATTGATAAGTCGAACGGATAGTTTCCCAGAGGATACTGGGAGTGACAGTGAATTACAAGTTGTCCCTATAATTGATGGTCATGTAGCAGCATCATATAAGAATAGGACATATTTGATACTATTAAAAGGAAGCTTAAGGCGAGCAAGCATTATGTATTAAGGGCAGAAAAGGGGGAGCACTGGTAGGTATGGCAAAGACTGATTATGTAGAGAAAATGTTAGAGGCATTAGATGATGATACAACATATAAGACCATAAATAGGGACCCGACAAAAGACCTTAAGGCTCTTCTGCAACAATGTGTAAACAGTGAAGAACTAGAAAAGTGGAACATTAATGCACTTCTTCATCGAAATGATAGAACCTCAAATGCGAATGGTCTGTCGAAAATGCAAAAGCAAGATACTCCACTTAGGAATATTGTAAATAAAAGAGGTAGCGCGATGCATAAAACATTTCGATTATCATGTACTCAATGAAAGCAAATCTCCGAAACTTGAAGGATTTCAGTAAGCAACTCTTACCGGTTCATTAAGTTGATTGATGATGAAACGATAGAAAGAGGAGATTTGCTGGTAGGTACACTAACATTCCGATAAACGAGGCAAT